AAGGATTCTGGCTTCGTTTCCTCCAGTTCTTACTGGAAGAGAACATTCAATAAAGTAATAAGACTGTTAACCAATCCAATGATGAAAATTATTAATGGTGTAAAATTACATTGAAACACACACATATATATAATCTCAAATAAATAGAAATAATTTCTTTCCCATAGTAGATAAACATTTACTAAAAAGGAACTATTCACTCCTTTATTCAAAAAGTATATTTTGAGCCGGGCACCGGTGGCTCATGCCTGTAATCCTAGCTACTCAGGAGGCTGAGACCTGAGGATCACGGTTCAAAGCCAGCCCGGGCAGGAAAGTTCCTGAGACTCTTATCTCCAATAAACCACTAGAAAACCGGAAGTGGTGCTGTGGCTCAAGCGGTAGAGCGCTCACCTTGAGCTGAAGAGCACAAGGACAGCACCCAGGCCCAGAGTTCAAGGCCCACGACTGACAAAAAAAAAAAGTATATTTTGAGGGGCTGGGAAGGTAGTTCAGTGGTAGAGTGCTTGCCTCACATGCATGAGGCCCTGGGTTCGATTCCTCAGCACCACATAAGCAGAAAAAGCCAGAAGTGACCCTGTGGCTCTCAAGGCCCTAGCCTAGAGCTGAGGGACAGTGCCCAGCCCCAGAGTTCAGGCCCCACGACCAACAAATATAGATAGATAGATAGATAGATAGATAGATAGATAGATAGATAGATAGATAGATATTGTTTTCAGGAATCTGGTCTAGGAGTATGAAGTATATTAGTCAGCAGGTTAAAACAAAATTAAACAACCCTATACTCAACAGTACTTATATATATCTACCTATTGGAAGCGTGGGATAATACATGGAAAACGTTAGTAAGATAAGTTCGTATGTATTTTAGTTAGTTTTCTCATTGCTGTAACAACCTACCCAACATAAACAGCCTAGAGGAAGAAGGATGTATTCGGGTTCAATCTGTAGTCATGTGGCATGCATGAATGTCATGCTTAGAATGTCATGGTGGTCCTAGCATGTGTGGAGACGTCCCCCACCATGGTAGAAGCAGAGAGAGCAGTAACAGGGAAGAGGCAGGCAAGAGATAGCCCCTGAGGATATACTGCCCAGTGATTTAAGTCCTCCAGGAAAGTTAGTTGAATGGCTAACTCCTTTATACAACTACGCAAAGATAATTAATAATAACAATAAAGACAATACCTGAAAAAACCTCACTCACCACTCACCACTCTACATAAAAATACTCAGATTAGTGGAATCCTGCTCCTATTTAAACACCACGATAACAAGTAAAATCCACGAAGATCCATACCCAGTGCATAAGAATGGAAAGAATTATCCCCTTCTTCCTGTTTCTACAGTACTTTATATACTTAGTTTTGAATTTGCTATATGCCTTCTTCTGTCTTAAATATTTGTGTTTAATTCTCCATTAGACTGAAATTCATTAAATGGAGGACCCAGATCTTACTCCACCTGTAATAAACCCACAATATTAGGTCAGTGCCTTGAATACAGCAAAGTCTCAATACATTTGGGTTAGACTGCATTGATCACTTAGACTTACAGAAACACAACAGATATATAAAGGTTCTAAAGGAAATGCTGTTCCAAAATCTGTAGTCATCACTTTTAAAATGGATTTTAAAATCTAGCAAAATTTGTTTCACTTACAATCCTATATAGAGTACTTGGCATGTCACTACATCTGACAAATCAGTATATATACATATATATACATACACACCTATATGTGTGTGTGTGTGTGTGTGTGTGTGTGTGTGTGTGTATGTTTAAAACAACTTGATGCTAGAAACACAATAATTAACCAGTACTATAAATAGTCATGATCAATTCAGAATTTAATGATATATAAGAATTATGGGAACATTTAGATGGTCTTGTGAAAATCTAGCTACACTTACTCATTTTAAAGAAATATTCAATATTTCCAGATGCCACATGCTCATGTCTATAATCCTAGCTACTCAGAAGGCTAAGATCTGAGTATTGCAGTTCAAAGCCAGCCAGGGAAGGAATGTCCTTATCTTCATTTAACTCTTATCTCCATTTAACTACCAAAACCAGCCAAAAGTGGCACTGCAGCTTAAGTCTTAGCATGCTAGCCTTGAGTACAAAAGATCAAGGACAGCCCTTAGTACCTGAGTTCAAGCTCCAAGACAGGCACAAAGAAGAAAGGAAGGAAGGAAGGAAGGAAGGAAGGAAGGAAGGAAGGAAGGAAGGAAGGAAGGAAGGAAGGAAGGAAGGAAGGAAGGGAGGGAGGGAGGGAGGGAGGGAGGGAGGGAAGGAAAATATCCAATATTGTACTAAGATAAATACTTTTGTTTTTGTTACTATTCAAAGAATTACAAAACATTCATTTATTTTTTCTGACAAAAGTGGTATCATGTTAAGATAATAATGACAATTCACCCCATCAGTTGCCTTTACATCTTTGCATCCAGGTGCTTGAACATGAATTAGAGATTAGCTTTTTGTCCAAATATGTCACAATCTGGCAGAAATGATGAGCACATGGCCATTTGATTATATACAAGAGCTTCTCCACTAATGTTTTCTCTTTGGAATTCCTGGAATGACTCCACAAAGAGGATAAATTTGAGTGCTAACTTTGAGGGGATAAGTAGATTTTACCAGGTATGGAGGTGAAAATAATTTGGGGTAAGAAAAAAATAGTATGACCAAAATTCAGAAAATGCAGGGCCTGTTGGGAAGAGTTGATGGGCAGAGATACTGGGAGGATTGTGTGGGGTTGTGAAGGACATGAATTGTATGCCAAGAAATTTTTAATTGTGCTATAGAAAATGGAGAGCCATGTGGGGTTTTTAATCATCACAGTAACCAAATCATTGCTAAGTTTTTGACAGCCACTGAGAAAAGCATTGTATAGGATGACTTCTCAGGAGAGAAAGAGGGAAGATACCAGCCAGCCAAGTATCGATTTCCCTCTGCTTCTGTCATTTGTCAGCAACAGTCTTTAGCTGCTAAACAGACCCATAAAAACAGATGAAAAAGCCAAGGCCTTTTACTTCAGTTAAATAGATAATTGAATTTTTTTCTATTTTCTTAAAAAGAATATATCAAAAAGTATTACGAATCTCTTTGAATACATGGAAATAAATATGGTGAAACTCATTTGAGTCAGCACATATGGAAACCAACTATGTACAAATCCTGCTGGAAGTTGTAGAGAAATTTATTCACTCACTCATTCAGCTAACATTTATTGAGGACCTACTATGTGTTCTTTTTTTTTATTGTGAACATACTGTACAGAGGGGTTACAATTACATGGGCAAGATAATGAGTACATTTCCTATCAAGCCTCCTCCTTTGTTTACCCTTCACATCCCTTCCCAGCCTCCCCCGGCCCCCCACCCAATCCTCCCCCCCCCCTCCCCCCCATCACCAAAGTTGTAAAGTTCGTTTTTGACATGACAACTTGTACTTCTCATTGCTGCAACCGGTCCACCTGTATCCTTATTTAAACGACTTGTTTTCCCCCTTCCCCTCCACAAATTATACTGACATCAAATACAGTGAAAGCAGGGGTTATACTGTGGGGGAGGGACATACAAAGCAACAAAGAAATAATCTTATAAATGCGTTAGAAACAAATGCATGAAAAAAAACCATTTAAATACATATCTTAGGGTTCATTTTCCTAACATCACCTTATCTGACCTTTTTTGCTTGATTCATACATATACTAGATATTGCAAATAAGGGAAACCATGGGACCTATGTTTCTTTGGGCTTGGCTTACTTCACTTAATATAATTTTTTCCAAGTCTTTCCATTTCCTAACAAATGGGGCAATGTCATTCTTTCTGATGGAGGCATAGAATTCCATTGTATATATACACCACATTTTCTTGAGCCATTCATCTACTGAGGGGCATCTGGGTTGGTTCCATGTCTTAGCTATGGTAAATAATGCTGCAATAAACATAGTTGTGCTGGTAGCTTTAGTGTGGTCTTGTTTGTAAACATTTGGGTAAATGCCCAAAAGTGGGATTGCTGGGTCATAGGGGAGCTCTATGTGGAGTCTTTTGAGGAACCTCCATACTGCTTTCCAAAGTGGTTGAACAAGTTTACACTCCCACCAACAATGCGTAAGGTTCCCTTCTGTCCACATCCCCTCCAGCATCTGTTGTTATTAGAGTTCTTGATTTCTACTATGTGTTCTGTAGGACAGTTTGGCTCATGGATACATACAGGGAAGAAGGAGGGACATGCCTCATGAGTCTGAGTTCACATTTCAGTAAGGGAATTCACATATTCACTAAGCTTTCTGCACACATTAGTATATAATTACAAATTTTTTATGTGCTGTAAAATGATTAAGAAAAAATTTAATTCAGAATTCAGAGCCAGGAATGGTGGCTTACAACTGTAATCCTAACTAGTCAAGAGGCAGGAGGTAGGAGGATCTTGATTTGAGGCCAGTCTGGGCAAAAACATTCTTAAGACTCCATCTCAACAGAAAAAGCTGTCATTGTAACTATGGTGTCTGTGTAACTATGGAAGGGTCCTGGATCAAGACTGGCCCAGGAAGAAAACAAAACCCTTTTTGAAAAATAACCAAAGCAAAAAAAGGATGGAAGCACGGTTCAAACATAGAACCCCAACTGACAACAAGAGTTAACCACTGTCCCTCTCAGGGTAGTGGTGATCTCAGACAAAACTAGAATCTAATGAGTTCAAATACTGGAAAATGTCCATTTGTACAGGACTAAATCGTGCATAGGAAACATTAAGTCATCAGCAAATAAAGATATTCTTGACAGAACTGACGAAGCCTTTGGGTCATTCATGAGGCTTCATATATCACATTTTCCCCTTGGAGAAAACAAATGTATTAGGATACTTTCTGGTGAGCTATAACTGAATTTAGTATATCATATCATAGAGCTTTGCTGTCTCATGTGTATCTAAAAGTTGACTTCTTGTCCATAATAAGTTCTTAAATATGAGATGGGTTTTCTCCACAGGCATGAACGTATTCACACCAAGAAAAATAACGTAAGCAGATCTCTAGCTTCTGATCTGAAGGATGTAGATGATTTGGCAACCCTAGATGTTTTAGATGAGGTAAGGATTGAGTTTAATTATTCTTAGACATTCCAGAATTTTCTAATTTACACAAGTGATGTCGAGAAGGGATTCTTGCATGCTTTTCTCATTTCTTAACTTAGGGATGATTTCTCCTATGTTCAGTTTTAATGGATAGAACTCAGGTTTTCAGATCCTTTTTCAGATCCTTCCATCCTTTTTTGATGTTCAAATAACTCATCCAAGCATGAGTTACTATTGCAGAAATATTCCAGGTATTTGAACTCAGAGCAACTCACTCTTACTTAGCTTTTCCACTCAAAGACGATGCTTACTACTCGACCCTTGCCTCCAGTTCCAATGTTGGCTAATTAATTGGAAAAAGAGGCTTGAAGGTTTGTTTGCCTGTTCAGCTTCAAACTTCCATCCTTAGATCCCAGCTCCCAAATAGCTAGGATTACAGGCTTGAGTGCTGAATTCTGGTGTTCTTTCTCTTTACCTCAAGGACTGCATGGACTCATTCCTTGAAATCCAATCATGGTATATGTATCATACATCATATAAAATGTGACAGGTATGTCCTTGGACACATACATCTATCAAAAGCAAAGAATGCCCGAGTAGTACTTGCAGACCTGTTTTTTTTTACATTTTTTAGTACAACTATTTCTTTCTAATCTTTGGTCCAGATTCCAAATGTTTTATTAGGATTGGGATGTAGCTCACTGGCAAAGTGCTTGCCTAGCAAGTGCAACATCCTGGGTTCGATTCTCTCTCCCACCTTACACACACATACACACACACACACATACACACACACACAGACACACACACAACACCACACACACACACACAGAGGACAAGTGTGTTATTAATAAGTTACTATTTATTTTTAAATTGTAGTTGAACACAAATGGTTTTTAGAAAGCAACATCATTTTTATTTTACTTCAGAACACAGTCTCGGAGCACTTGGAGAACTGTTATGCCAAAGACAAAATCTATATCTATGTGGGAGATATACTCATTGCTCTCAACCCTTTCCAGAGTCTGGGGCTTTATTCTACAAAGGTACGTGGTGTGGCTCACGTTCTGACACATTATAGGTAGGGTGACACTCTCCAGACTCTTGATTGGAATGAGTGCCAGTAAAAAAAACTTACCTAGCACTTTGGCAGAAGTTAAACAGTACTCGGTAGACAGGAAAAACCAATGGAATCAATGCAAATGTAGCGTGAGACAATTATTTTTCCAAAAGTGTACATCAGGATGTTTATTATATCTAGTTATTAGTAATAGTTTCACAGTATATCTTCCAAAATAAATGTCTAGAAAAATATAAACTTAGTGTCTGCTACTGAGCAAAGTATTAGAAAAATCAAAAGTAAAACTACATCATTTGTACATGTAAAACTTGTGGTGGGTTTTTAAATTTTACATATTGATTTGCTTCATTACTATAACAAAATGGGTGCTTTAAGAATATAATTGCATAAGTATCAATTATTCAACCCTTAATGGCTTAAACATAGAATTAAACTAGGCTGTGTTTTTTAATTTTTTAATTGGACCTATTCTCTTCTAGCTATTTGTGTTCTTTAGAAAACTATTTTGATATTATGCCTGATAATTATTTTATGTAAATAAAAAATATGTAGCTGTTATCCTCGACCATCTTGGAATTTACAGAATATGGATAAATGTGTGAACTTATGTTACAGAAAAAATTGGGCTTTCATACTAATTAACAGTGATATTATACACAAGACATCACAGGTTAAATGAAGTAAAAAAGAAAAAGAAGTGATCATATGTCAGACTTTGTTTTTTCTTTCAGCAGTTCTTGTGATTGAATTCAGGGATGCACACTTGCTACCTCGGTGCTCGACCACCTCAGCCACACCCAATGCCCTTTTTGCTTCTAGTTTCTTTTTCAGATAGCATCTCACACTTTTGCCCAGGCCAACCTCAAACTGGCTTGTACCACCACATTTACTTGTCAACCATTATATGCAAGGAATAGTCAACAGATGGGTATCTGATTGTCTACATTTCAAGTACTTCATTTAAACAAAGAATAGTACTTTGAAGCTTTAACTTCCGTTTTGGAAGTGGTATGCAGGATCTTTTTTCCCACACTGTTTTCTTAGCATCAATTAGTTATATAAAGGGGATCATTTTTGACATGTCCTTACATATACAGATTGCTTTGATCAGGCTCACCTCTGTCATGCTTCTGTGTTTCTTCTCCCTATTCCCAAACCAATCTCCAAAGGTTGTATTGTTCCATAGTACACGTTTCAACCAAATTTACCTTCCTTCAAGATTTTTTTAAATACTGCCGCAGTGATGTTATGCTACATTATGTCACATCATACACCAAGGGTGTTTAAATCTTTATTCAAATAATGCATGACTTGTGCATGTATGTATAGGTACATATGTAACATGACTGGTTGTTTTTTGGCAGGAAACAGTATGTTATTCATTTTTTTAAGGTGGAAGTAGACATACAAATGATCGGACACTAAATACAAGCAGAAACAAAATGAATAAACCCTATAAACGATGTTCTTTTTAAATTTAGCTTTCCCAACTCTACATTGGAGCAAAGAGAAGTGCCAACCCTCCTCATATTTTTGCAATGGCTGACTTAGGGTATCAGTCCATGATTACGTATCATTCAGATCAGGTAAGGCAAGCCTCATTGCTCACAGGATTTCCCCTCTTAGTTTCTTGTGCTCTTGTTGAGTTTTGTAAAGGATGAAGTCTTCTCTCATCTCCTGTGCAGTGCATCATTATTTCTGGAGAAAGTGGAGCTGGAAAGACTGAAAGTGCTCACCTTCTAGTTCAGCAGCTCACAGTGCTTGGAAAGGTAGGATTTATTTTTCTTCTGTCCCAGCAGAAATACTATTGTAATTTAGAGCTACATATAACTGATTCGATTTGTAATCACTAATTATCTTCCCCCGTTCAATAATGAATGGCAATTATAAAACTCTGCGGTTAGCCAGGCACTGATAGTTCACACCTGTAATCCTAGCTATTCAGGAAGCTGAGATCTGAGGATCACAGTTCAAAGCCAGCCCAGGCAGGACATTCCATGAGACTTTTATCTCCAATTAACCACCCAAGAGCCAAAAATGGAGCTCTGGCTCAAGTGATAGAGCACTAGCTTGAACAAAAAAACTCAGGGATTGTATCTAAGTCTTGATTTCAAGCCCCAGGACCTGCACACACATACACACAAAGAACTACAACTCTAATGAATGACATAGGAAGATTATATCTGTTTTGAAGATATTCCAACTTTTCTTATTAGGCTAAATCTTTATAAGTCAGCTGTTTTCTCTTTATTAGCACTATTTTGCTGAATATTTTCTTTACATTTTCTGCACTGTTAACAGATTAAAATAATCACTATACAAGCACCAATTGCATTTGTACACATATGCAGTAAGCTTGCCTTATGCACAGACTTATTTCCCATAATTTTGACCAAGCATGATCAAAAATAATAATAAACTTTTAAAATCAAAAGAAATTTCAAACACAAGAGTGTTAAATTCTCCACATATGCATTACACAGATAAACTGATAAATCACTGTGTGAACTCCTGAATGTTTCCCTGCTCTTAATTTTGTGAAAAATCTGCCTCCCTAAAAACAAATGGTGCCCCCCAAAGCAAGGTAAACAATGTATTTAATTGAACTGATAAAGAGGAAATTTTACCGTCACTTCACCAAAGGTGACATGTAGACATAAATAAATGAAGTTGTCCAACATGGTAGCCACTTGGGAAATGCAAATTAAAACAGCAGACACCTATAAACAGCTATTACTTAGGCTAAAATTGGTCCTAAAATCTGACAAGACAAAGCACTAAAGAAAGGATCTGGATGCTTGAGGGGATGTGGCCAAAAGGGAACCCTACTGCACTGTTGATGGGAGTGTAAACTTGTTCAACCACTCTGGAAAGCAATATGGAGGTTCCTCAAAAGACTACAGATAAAGCTCCTCTATGGCCCAGGAATCCCACTTCCGGGCATTTACCCAAATGATCACAAACTAGGCCATACTAAAGCTTCCAGCACAACTATGTTTATCGCAGCATTATACACCATAGCTAAGATATTGAACCAACCCAGATGTCCCTCGGTAGATGAGTGGATCAAGAAAACGTGATAGATAGATAGATAGATAGATAGATAGATAGATAGATAGATAGATAGATATGAATTCTGTGCTTCCATCAGAAAGAACAAAACTACCCTGTTTGTTAGGAAATAGAAAGACTTGGAAAAAATCATATTAAGTGTAATAACCCAGTCCCAAAGAAACACAGGTCCATGGTTTCCCTTATTTGCAATAATTAGTATACATAGAGGATAATCTTGTCAGATGAGCTGGCTCAAAAGCCACGTACAAATGACCATATAAGATGATGCTAAGTGAAATGAGCCCCAAGATAGGGACACAAGAGGTCTGTCTTTATTGTTATTGTTTAAATGTACCATGTGATTTTATTTGTTGTTGTTGTTATTATTTCCTTTGTATGTTCTTTCCCCTATGGCATATCCTCTGTTGTCACTGTACTTGATTTTGGCACCCTGCATCTTGTAGGTACATATGTCTAATCTGGGGAGGGGAAGGGGAATAACAAAACGTTGAAACAAGAACACAGGATGACCCATTGCAACAAAGATACCCACAGGACAGTATAGTGGAAACGAACTTTACAACTTCGGATGGGGGGAGGGGGGAATGAGGGATGGAGGGAGGAGTGTGGGAGGTGAGAGAGGGAAGGGATAGTGGGACAGCAACAAAGAAGGGAAGGGGTATTGCCTTACTCATGTAACTGTAACCCCTCTGTACAGCATCGTTATAATAATTTCTTTTTAAAAAGGAAGAAAGGATCTAGAGCAGTTAGGACTTCATATATTATTAGTGGCATAGCCCTTTCATAGTACTTGTTTGGATGTTTTTGTAAACTACATTGGCTGTAAAACCCACCAGTCACTTCACCAAAGGTTTTAATACTTTCTACCAAGTGTGTTGGTATGGAGCAGAAATTCACTCTGTTCGGTGGGTTAACACTGAACTATGACCCCTCAGGCCTCTCAGAGGTAGAGATCAGGAAGATAGTGCTACCACAGGCTCTTTTCTCCCCTCTCCATTTCTTCTCAAGCCCTGGCCCATCAACTCCTCTCAGGACTTCTAGGATAAGAACATCTAAGAGACAGTGAAGTAACATGTGACATGCAAAGGGAGCTCCAGACTTAGTATACTTAAGCAATGGCCTTTCTAGGCCATCTTCATCTGTGAATCAATAGAAGTTCTCAAGAATAATAGGTTAACTGTGTGTGGCTGTAGTTTTGTAGATCTCAGCAAACATGAAATCTAATCTCCCGATCATATTCTAGATCTAAGATCTAGATTTAATGTTTAATTGTGTGCTGTCCATTCTACCCTTATTAGGTCTTATCTTATGTTTTACTTATGTCCTTGAGAAAGATTTATCAAATGCAAAAAGAAAAATGAGATATTTAGGGAAATGGAGCTTGACATAAGTAGGAGAGGTTGCCTAGCAAGCAAGTGCAAGGCCCTTATTGCCTCTTTTAGAAGACTCCTAAAGTCCTTATACAGCTCAACACCTCTCTATGACTGTATTTTCTGGCCCCCTGGTGTGCCAATGTAGCCTATGTCTAGAAACAGCTAGTGCTACTCACCCTTAACTTACAAACTATCCATATCTTTAATCCAGTTGATCTCTGGGAAGTGTTCGTGTTGACACTGACAATCATCTCCTTGCTCTAATTTCTGCCAAGATGCATGTTACTTGGAGACTCCCTCAATCTCTTTGCCTTTCTAACAGTGATTGGCTCTAACCCAAATGAGTTTCTACTTGGCAGAATTTCCCATAAAATGGAAAAGAAGAAAACCAAAATCGAACACATGTTTGGGCAGAAATGACGTAGGGACAGAGACCGAGGCTGCTGGCCTGGCCTGCCACTCCATTCTTCCCATCCTTACTTCTAAGCTCCATTTCTGAATCCATGAATTGTCTTTACCCTCTTTGTTCTTTGCTCAGTAACAAAGAAAGGGATTCTGGCATTGGGGAAGACATAGATGAGGGCCCAGGCCCTGGCACATAGGAATAAGAAAATGAGAGCTGTACCTCAATAGTTACACGGCATGTAAGTTATATCTGATGTCAGGCACTGCCCAGAACTGTATTTGAACACAAGCCTATAGAATATCTCTTCCCTCTTCAGACAAAGGAGGTGATTAGAAACCAGATTGTTATGCTGCCATCTTTCAAGAATGTGTTCTCATATGTTCATATCCACAGAAAATACTTATCAAAGAAGAGACACTTTATTATAGACAAAACTATTTTTACTGATTTTTTTTTAGCATCTTGACATTTTCTCCCTAGTCTAATAACAGAACCCTACAAGAGAAGATTTTACAAATGAACCATTTGGTTGAAGCCTTCGGCAATGCCTGCACTATTATCAATGACAATTCCAGCCGATTTGGAAAATACTTAGAAATGAAATTTACCTCTTCTGGAGCTGTAGTGGGAGCACAGATTTCTGAATACCTTCTAGAGAAATCTCGAGTTATCCATCAGGCTATGTAAGTTCGTGTCAGATATCTTTTAGTTTTCTGAGAAATGTAAGCAAAAAAAATAAAACCAGGCTTCTGCTCTAATGGTAAAAATGTTTTTCTTATTCAATGAAATTGTGTGGATGACTTGCTATGTGCAAGACACTCAATTAAAAAGACCCTTCTTGCCAGACACCAGTGGCTCATACCTGCAATCCTAGCTACTCAGGAGGCTGAGACCTGAGGATCGCGATTCAAAGCCAGCCCGAGCAGGAAAGTCTGTGAGACTTATCTGCAACAATAAACACTCAGAAAAACTGGAAGTGGTGCTGTGGCTCAAGTGGTAGAGCACTAGCCTTGAGCTGAAGAGCTGAAGGACAGTGCCCAAGCCCAGAGTTCAAGCCCCATGACCAACAACAACAATGTCTTGATTAATAAATAATCTAGAAATTATGCTACCAGACCAAAAATCTATAGCCCACCATGGAGGTACGACCAGCATAAATAAGAACAAGTTCTCAATTGAGAAGAGTATATTTCTTTACACAAAATCAATGTGAAATTTAATTAAAGGTAACCAAGTCTATCTATCTTTTAAATATAAATGTGTTTTTCTTTTATATAATGCTCTACAGAAATAGATATTTGTAATAATTTTGTTCTTCCTGGGCTTATACACAAGAGACCAAGTAAATGATTCAGAAACAAGCTGTTTAGTTGATAGCTGACTTAAGTCATCAGAACTATTTATGGTTTGTTTGTCTGTGTGTCAGTAATGGCGATTGAACTACAATCTTTACATTCTCACTTGGCTGTTTTACTCATGGCTGGAATTGTATCGTTTGAGCTTTTTGCTGTTAACTAGAGTGTCTCCTGGATTTTCCATCTGGGCTGGCTTCAAGCCACTATCATTAGATCTCTGCTTCCTGAGTAGCTAGGATTATAGGCATGAACCACCAGCTCCTGGTGAAATAATTTCTTAATAGTTGAAATCATGTGAAATATGTTCTAAAAAGATAGCAGAATTAGAATTATATTTAAACTGTACTATGTATTAAATAATGGGTTTTCCCCCCTCAGAGATGGCCTAAGGATCTATTTCAGCTTTACAATATTGTTTATTGTGGAAAATCATGCCACATCCAAAAATCACAATCATGTAGAAATACAACTCAGTATAATTTGAGTTCTGCTACATTATAATTTATAATAAGACATGTTTTCCATTTTGTGTGTTTTTTATTTAATTTAAATTGCATTTATACATTTTAGAGCAAGTTTTGAAAATGAGGTTATCAGAGATGTAGTAGATACATTATTTGCAGGTGCATGGTTTAATTATAAATTTAATTAGAATACATCAATCCGAATTACTAGAAGAAAGGAACAAATTTAAAGGGATTAATCTAAAAAAACAATTTGCAAATGTAGAGTGGGCATAAAGAATCAAGAATGAATGGTTAGCCCAGAGTAATAAATGCTGAGCCTACAGACTAACCAGGCCTGCAGGGCTCAGGGTAAGAAAGTACCACAGAGCCTGGTAAGAGAGGGAGCTGCTGGGTAGGGGCTGCCTAGAAGTGCATTAAAGGAAATGAAGCCTCCACCAAGAGAAAGGGTGTGGATAATCTACCTCCTTCCTTCCTCTGCTTCCCCTTGCCAGCATCTCCCTGTGCTTCCCATTGGCTAAACTCAACTGGAAGCCAGGAAAAGAGGGAGGGGCTCAGATACTGCAGTCTACAGAAGTCTGTCTGCCTTTGGATCACACAGAGCAAGGCAGAGAAAGTTACACAACCAATGTGAGGACTCAGGAAGACAAAGAGAAGGGGCACCAGAGAAGACATTTATTTTCTTAAATGAACTCCCCTTTTCTTGGTCGAGAATTGATGTTTTTCATCTCTACCTATGCCAACCTCCCCCGACCTCGCCAGTCCCGCCTTACCCACCCCCACACACACACTCACTCAGTTTCAGATCACCTTTCTCCTGACATTCTGATACCTCGTGACTTAAAAAGCTTTTCTCAATATTGATGATTTTAAAGAAGAAAAATTTACCAAGAACCTCTTTAATTTCAAGGAGAAAATGAGCATATTGAAGGCAATGCTGAATCAGTGTCATAAATATAAATTACAACTGTGTCTGCTACCACTTCCTCCTCTTATGATAGTGTAGTTCAGCAAGCCTTGATTCCATTGCTCTCCCTTGCCAGCCCTTTGCCCGTCTCCCTAGGCTTCATAAACAAAGTAGCAGGCATGGTGCTGTCTGCTACAGAGAGAGGAAAGATATATTTATGAAGCAATTATTCCATGCCGAGCCCCTCACATCCATTGTGGCTTTTAATTCTCACAGTCAGGTGACAGAGTTTTATTGTCTCTTTTATAAATTAGGAAACAGAGAACAAGAGAATTTTAATTTGTTGTTTAATGATCAAAAGCTAGGAAATAACCAAGTTGGACTTTAAATCCTTGTCTCTCTGGCCAGTTCCACTGACTATAATTCAATCCCCATTTTTCCTTCTTTCTTTATTTCCTTTTTCCTTCCTCTTTCCTTCCTTCTTCCCCTCCATCCTTCTTTACTTCTTTTCCTTCTTTTCTTATCTTCCTTCCTTCCTTCACTTGACAAATATTTATCTATTGCCTACTATGAACTAAGAACAGAAGCTGCAAAGCCAATTTTAAAAAGGATTCTTAAGCAGCTCACAGTCCCCTAAGGACTGGCACAATACTCTGAGACTCATTGGTCTCTAGTTTCTCTAGGAAGTAGGAAGTGAGTTCAGCTGCTAAGAGTGAGCAGATAGAGGACTGAGAGAAGACTGGATGTTTAAGACAAGGCAGCTATAACTAAAACAGAACACTGGGAGCCTTGTTAATAGGTTCCCTGAGGGCCCCTTGGAATGTAAAGCATGGTCAGCTTTAGGGCCTTCTTCCTGGCTGTTTTGTCACAGTCACAGACGTCACAGTGAGTTGTGTTGTGGCTAGGTGAGGACATCGGGATTTCCAGAGTATTAGGGGCCTCAGTAGCATAGGTGATCCCCAGGGTCCAAAACAGGTGAGCATGAAAGCACCTCCAAGGCATTCCTGCAAGTAGCTGAGCAAAACTCCAAAGAACTATTCCAGGATCCACAAGTAGAAGTACAGCTAGTCAGGGAACTACTATGGGCTGGCTGAGATGTTACACTTGTTTCCAGGTGGCCCTAACCTGAGAACCACGTGACCACATGGGCAGAAGTGTGGCTTTGGTGTGACTTGGGGCAGGACATAAAATGGATTATCTTCTATCCCCCCTTGGCTTTAACTCTGTTAACTCTGAAGGTCAATGCATTTCTCAGAATATCTCCAGGTCTTGTCAAAGTAAATGCTTTGCACATGTAAACTGATAATTAAGAAGAAATCCACTAATTTCGTGTCTCTGCATTTATGAGTCACTTCAGTTAATTGTACGTCGCATTGTTAGATTTAAGATGTGATGCACAGAGCAATCAATGAGATTTCATTGGAACAAAGCAAACTAAATTACATGCCATGCTAGTCTTAGACATCTTTTATTATTCTGTGGTGAGAGAAGATAAGAGCTCAAGTTTTAGATTTGCTCTAACCTCACTCTTGTACAAGGTTTAGCATCTGTTGCCTTCTTTCTGGTGACTGCAACAAACAGATAGGCGTGTGGAAGAGGCTGCTCTGAAGGGTTTTGAACGAAGGCAATGCAGGCAGTGTAACCCAGTGGTAGAGCATTTGCCTAGCACGCTAGACGCCCTGCAAAACCCAACCTTAAAAATGAATGAAAGGTATATCAGAACTTGCCTCAGAATCCTCCCTGGAGACCACCTATTAAAACCCTCACTTCTGTGCTCCATGACTGGCTTCCAATTCTTCTTCCTCCTTTCTGATTATTCTTCTCTGCCTTAAATTCATTCATCCATTCCCAAAATGGATTTCTGGAGATTTGTCCAGAAGGCTTTGTCTTTTGTTCTCTCTGATGTCTTCTCAATTTCTTCTGACATCATGATCTCAAACCAGCCAGCTCTGTGTAATGGACACCCAAAGATAGACTTCTGCTAAGCTTACCATGTCTACTTCCAACCACTGACCATCCTCCAGTCATCCCACACTCAACTGAATTCATGCCCCAACTCTGAGGGGTTGATTGGGGGCTTTTTTACCCCCATAGTCGCCTTGGAACCACTCACCTCTAGCTATGGAAAACGCTCTTTACTCTGCATGTCTAAACACAGAGAAAGATAGTGTTCATTTCCACAATCAATGTTTTACTTGCCTGCTTCCTCTCCCTCTGCTACTATTTTATCTCAAGTCTCTGTTCCCTCAGACCTGACATTTGAAAGATTTGGAACTTTTCTAGACATTTAAACTGTCTTCCAAAGCTTAGAGTTATGTCATCCTGCAAGAGTCTCAACCCAGCATGCAAAATAATCAGAGATCCTTATTTTTCTCTTGAACATGTCTTACTTTGTTTGTAAACATAAACAAGAATAGCAATCTGCTTTATTCACTTAATCAAGTTCTGTACTTCCAAATGCAGCATTTTCATTCATCAACTTCCAGAAAAGACCACTGGAACATCTAAAATAGTTATAGGCACTGCACAGATATCAGACCTGTAACCAGAGTATTTTAAACTTAGGTGAATTATGCCTTAGAAACTGTGAAAATAATTCTTGTACTAGCCTTTGCCAAAATCTTGAACCAAAAGTAAAGATTTTACAATAAAACCACAGATGTGTTCCAAAACTCCAACTATCTTTTACCTCACTGGAAAAGTCAATTTATATGGATATGTTTGCATTACCATTGATTTTGGGGAAAGCTTCTGCGTACCACAAGAATAAATAATTTCTGAAAAGAGAAAAGTTTCCATTCCCATGGAGATTATACTTCTGAACAGACAAGAGAAGACTGAGGAAAGTTTTAAAGCGACTTTTATTCCTTGAAATAAAATGCTTTGGAAGGAATTATGAGTGGATTTCATGTGCAAAGCTTTCAAAGTAAAGTAAAAACAAGCTTTCAAAGTAAAAA